GTGGGGATGGAGTCACCCAGAATCACAAGCGGTAAGGGACTGTGGGGGATGGAGTCACCTAGAATCATACAGGAAGGGACCGTGGGGAAGGAGTCACCCAGAATCACAGAGGCAGGGACTTGGGGATGGAGTCACCCAGAATCACAAGGGAAGGGACTGTGGGGGATGGAGTCACCCGGAATCATACAGGAAGGGACCGTGGGGAAGGAGTCACCCAGAATCACAGAGGCAGGGACTGTGGGGATGGAGTCACCCAGAATCACAAGGGAAGGAACTGTGGGGGATGGAGTCACCCAGAATCATACAGGAAGGGACTGTGGGGATGGAGTCACCCAGAATCACAGAGAAAGGGACTGTGGGGATGGAGTCACCCAGAATCATACAGGAAGGGACTGTGGGGAAGGAGTCACTTAGAATCACAGAGGAAGGGACTGTGGGGAAGGAGTCACCCAGAATCATACGGGAAGGGAACGGGGGTAATGGAGTCACCCAGAATCACAGAGGAAGGGACTGTGGGGAAGGAGTCACCCAGAATCATACAGGAAGGGACTGTGGGGAAGGAGTCACCCAGAATCACAGAGGAAGGGACTGGGGGGATGGAGTCACCCAGAATCACAGAGGAAGGGACTGGGGGAAGGAGTCACCCAGAATCATAGAGGAAGGGAGAGGAGAGAGAAACATCAATGATGAGAGAGAACCACTGATCGGCCCTTCGTAAAAAAATGGAATCATATACCATGTTTATGGATAGGAAGAATTAACATCATTAAAATATTCATAGTTTCTCTAGATTCAATGCAATTCCTACCAAAATACCAATGGTATATTTTGAAGAACTTGAAAAAATAACGCAAAAATTCATATGGAATCACAAAATAAACCCCTAAATAAACTCAGTAATATCAAGAAAGAAGAGGAAAGTTGGAGGTACCATACTACCTGACATCAAACTATACTTCAAGGCCATAGTAAGCAAAGCAGCCTGGTACTGGTGTAAAGCAGGCATATAGACTAACGGAACAGAACAGCGAGCTCAGAAATCAACCCACACCTTTATGGTCAATTAATGTTTGACCAAGGAGGCAAGCACATACAATGAGGCAAGGATGGTCTATTCACTAAGTGGTGCTGGGAAAACTGGACAGATTCTTCCAAAGGAAAGAGAAAGAAACGAGATCACCTTCTAGCCCCATATGCAAGGATAAACTCAAAATGGATCGAAGACTTAAAAGGTAGCCTTGCAACCATCAAAATCCTAGAAGAAAACACAGGCAGTAAAATCTCTGACGTTTCTCATGCAATATTTTTTCTGCGATATCTCCTTGGACAAGGGAAACAAAAGAATAAATTAACAAATGGGACCAAAGAGCGTTTGCACAGCAAAGGAAACCATCAACAAAACGAAGAGACAACCGACTAAATGGGAGGAGAACATATTCGCCAAGGACACAGCTGATCAGGGGTTAATACCCAACATGTGTAAAAACCTCAGACTACTCAACACCAAAAAAATCCCATTAAAAAATGGGCAGAGGGCCTCAATAGACACCTCTCCAAAGAGGACACGCAGATGGCCAGCAGACATAGGAAAGGATGCTCAGTGTCACTAATCATCAGAGAGATGCAAGTTAAAACCACAGGAGCGATCACCTCACACCTGTCAGAGTGGCCATCATCGACAAACCTGGACAGACAAGTATTTGCAGGGATGTGGAGAAGAGGGAACCCTTGTGCGCTGTGGGCGGGAATGCAGATTGGCAAAGCCACTGTGGAGAACTGCATGGAGCGTCCTCAAAAAATTACAAATGAATCTTCCTTATGACCCCGAGATTCCGCTTCTGGGATTTACCCAGAGAAACCCCAAAACATGGGTTCAAAAGCATATGTGCACCCCTATATTCATTGCAGCATTATTTACAACAGCCAAGAAATGGAACTGCCCATCAGTAGAGAAGTGGGTGGATGGAATATTACTCAGCCATAAAAAATGAATAAGACCTTACCTTTTGCGACAGCATGGATGGACCCAGAGGGTATTATGCTAAGTGAAACGAGTCAGAGGAAGCAAATAGCACATGAATTCACTTAACTGTGGAATCTAAAGAAAACACAAACAAAACCGAAGCACACGTTGATAGTTACAGAGCAGTCATGGGGAAGTGAAGTACAGCCTAGGGAATAGAGTCAATAATCTTGTGATAACTGCTTGGTGCCCGTTGGGGGACTGGAAATATCGAGGGGAACACTGTGTAAATGATATGATTGTCTAACCACTAAGCTGTACTCCTGAAACTAATATAAAATCAAATCCAAAGAAAAACAAACAAAATAAAGGAATAGAGCCCGGCCGGCGTGGCTCAGCGGTTGAGCATCAACCTATGAACCAGGAGGTCCTGGTTCCATTCCAGGCCAGGGCACATGCCCAGGTTTCGGGGTCCTTCCCCAGTGTGGGGCGTGCAGGAGGCAGCAGATCCATGATTCTCTCTTCATTGATGCTTCTCTCTCTCTCTCTCTCTCCCTTCCTCTCAGAAATCAATAAAAATATATTAAAAACACACACAAAGGAGTAGTCATCAGAGACAAGGGCACAGGACAACTATCTGGGGTCCTTTGTCTGACCTTCTGCCCTGCAATGTTCCCTGGGTATTTCCGGGTGAGAGTAAACTCCCCTTCAAGGAAAAACGAAGACTCCTGCAAACCCAGAGCCCGGAAGCGATGGTCTACTGGAGCGAGAGCAGCGAGGAGGGCCAGGAGGGGTCCCTGGCATCCTTCCCTCTCGCCCTCACCAGGTGCCTCGGAAGCCGAGCAGTCCAGGGGGCTGAGATGCGCAGACAGAAAAGGCGAAGGACGTGGAATTCCAGCCCCAGTCTGAGCCTAGGCCACACTGGATGGAAAGGAGAGAAAAATAGGCCCAAATTCCGCTCACCTCCAAGGAGGAGGGGGAGGAAGAGACTCACCGAGGATGGTCAGATAGGTCCCCTCTGCTGAACACAGCACACAGTGATACAGCCTTGAACATAAACCCCCTGTCGCCCCCACTGCCCCGGCCCGGGCCCACCTGCAGCTGCACGGGAGGCCCCAAGTCCAGCCCCCTGGTCATGGGGGCCGATCTGGCCCATGGGCGGGTGCGGGAGGGTGCCCCCTCCCCACCTGCAACTCCGCTTCCTTGAGGGGTGACCTTCCCTCCATCCGTCCCCCGTGGTGGCGGGGGTAGGAGGGAGTGTCTGAGGGTCCCCTCACATCCAGGGACCCTACAGTCCCGGGAGGGGTGTGTCTCTGGCTCCTTGGGGAATGTCCGGTGGAAGGAGAGGGAAGTCCAGTTTATAGCCCAGAGATGATGGATCCCGGGCGGCCACGGGAGGGTTCTGGAAGCCATACATGTCCCAGACACATGGTCTACCAGATGTACCGGTTAATAACGCGGATTTCCCCCAATAGACGGAGTCACACGTACGTTGATCTAGATGCGATTTGATATGTACGCTATTTGGTTGTATTGCTCCTTCAGATTCCCACTTGTTCTGATCGATGGCACACGCACTTTCTGAGCGGCACTTCAAAATGTACGAAGAAGTGGAAAATTGGGGCTCTGAATGGTCGGCCTCAAAACAGGAAAAGTTCTATTGGGACGGTCTCCACAAATCACTTGAAAGATGGGGAATGTATAGCTAGCGATGGACATGACTCTGAATAAAGCACTTTTGATGTTTCTCTTGAAATTATCGTGTTTTCTTTGATTACAAAATCCTCATTTGTAACCGGTTAACAGCTAATCCGCATTTTTAACCGGTATCCACATTTTTAACTGGGTCCCCACCCGGGGCCAGCTTCTAGGACTATAATCTCCCGGGTTCTCGGGCCCCATTCTAGGTTCCCAAAAGACAGGTCAGTTCAGAGTCATGCACATGACTTATTCTCAGAATCATATTCTTGATTTTATTTATTATTATTATTTTTAATAATTTTATTGATTTCAGAGAGGAAGGGAGGAGAGAGAGATAGAAACATCAATGATGAGAGAGAATCATGGATCGGCTGCCTCCTGCACTCCTCACACTGGGATCGAACCGCAACCCGGGCCTGTGCCCTGACCAGGAATCGAACTGTGCCCTACTGGTTCATAGGTTGGTTCTCAACCGAGCCACGCTGGCCATATTCTTAACCTTAGACTAGTGGCCCATCTGCTACCCATGGCTACTATGACATTCATGTTTGTGGTGGGGTCAGTGGTGGGCTGGCATCTGAGGGGTTGAAAGGGAGCAGAGCTGGCCCCTAACTCCACCGGCCTTGACCACAGCTGGGACCCAGATGGGAGAGGTGGCCCCCAGGAAAGAGTCCAGGTGACTGGCCAGGGTCCAGGAACCGAGGGTTCTGTAGTGAGTGTAACAGTGAAGGGCCAAGGGTCAGGGCACATGGCAGTGATGACACAGGGGCAGGGGCAAGGGGGCCTAAAGGAGGAGGAACGTTCTAGACTGGGAGGATGGACAATTTCCGGAAGAAGGGAGCCATGGAAGGCATGTGAATGAGGATTTGGGGGAAGGGAGCTCAGACACTACCCTGGTTTCCATGGGGACCAAAGGGAGTGGGCCTTGGGGGTGGACATGGTCCACAGGAAAAAACCAATTTTAGGGCAGGCGTGAGAAGTGTGCTCTCCTGGGTTCTGCAGCCCCTGCCCCTTGTTCTAGAACATTCTCTGGGCAGCTCTGGGTGAGAGGGAAACCCCTTCAGGGAAACATAAAGACTCTTTCACTGGGTCTTTTCTTACAAGGCCAAAAGGATAGTTTTCACCTTTGAGGATAGTTGAGTTCAAGACCAAAGTCCAGAAACAAAAATGACCAAGAGAATATGACATCTGATTGACAAGAAGGATATTTTATTGAGAGCTGATCAGGTGCAGGGAGAAGAAAGAATGGGTGTGAAGGCAGGGAGATCCTCCTGGGGGTCCTGGAGCTCTAGGCCCCCAAGGGTGAGAGGACTCAGGTCCTAGGAGCACTCCGAGGGGGCCACTGTCTTCTCCACGGTCTTCCCGTCGTGCGTGACCTGGCAGCTGTAGGCGCTGGCGGACTTCCAGTCTTGGCTGGACACGCTCAGGTAGCTGCTGGCCGCGTACTTGTTGTTGCTCTGCTTGGAGGGCTTGGTGGTCTCCACGCCCTGGGTGACGGGGGTGCCATTTGCCTTCCAGGCCACCGTCACGCTGCCCGGGTAGAAGTCACTCATGAGACACACCAGTGTGGCCTTGTTGTTGGCGAGCTCCTCAGCGGATGGCGGGAACAGAGACACGGAGGGTGCAGACTTGGGCTGACCTGTGGGTGCGGGAGGGGCAGGAGGGGAGAGGCTCAGGGTCCATCCTGAAAGCTCCTGACCTCGGTCTTCCTGTGGGCACAGTGTCCTGAGGACCATGCAGGACCCCGAGGGCAGGGGCCTCTCTGGGTGTGAGAGTCCATGCCGTGTAGAGCAGTTTGGGGGGTTCCTAACTCAACTCCCCATGTTCCTGAGAAACCCTGAGCCTGGACACCTGCCATCACCGTCCTTGTGGGCCCCATTCTGCCCCCCACACATCTGACTGTCACCCTCTGGCTCTGCCTTCTCCTGGTATCTGACCGGGCCTGTCTGTGTCTGTCAGTCTGTTTGTCCCACAAAAGATGATCTGAGCCCTCTGCCCTCCTGCTGGTCCATCTGTGGACACCTCTGGCCTGATCCTCTGTGCTGGGGGCTTTGAAGCATCGGCCCAAAGGCTCAGTTTTTCACCCAAATCTATGTCCCTGTAGCTTCTCTAACAGGGCACACTTTTAGCTGATGAATCAGAAGTCTGTCTGTCTGTCCTTGGGTCTCTTTCATTCTACAGTCAATAGCATCCCCACAGATTGCTCCTATCACTAGAGCTTTCGTGCCATAGATTCTGCATTTCCTTGAGCAAGTCTAAACAGAGACCAAAGGCCACCTTGTCCTCATACCTGTCCTTCCATGACCCTTCCTCCAGCACCTTCTCCTCCCCCCTGTGTCCTTCCTCCTGCAGGCTTCCCTGGTGCGAGGATGGTCAGGACTCCGCATGCCAGCTCTATGCAGGCCCCGGGAGCCCTGCACCCCAGCACCATCCCTGACCCTTGTTCATGAGCCCACAGTCCCTGAGACCTGCCCTGAACCTCTGACTTGTACGTCTCTAGTCTTGGTCACCCTACAATGTTCACGTGGTTAACCCCTCAGGCCTGCTTATCCTCCCGTCCCCTTAGGATGTGAGCAACCATTGACCCCCAGAAAGAAATCTGGTACAATAGGAGCCCATCAGAGGAAGACAGAACAGAGCCCGTCTAGAATCCAGCAGGTCCTGGCAAACAGATAGAAGAAACCACAGGTCATCCTGTCCATTCCTCAGTCTCTGGGGTCAGAGGTGAATGGCTGGTGGTGACCTTGGAGCGAAATAGGACAGAAAGAACGGAGATGGGAAGAGCTCCGGGCCCCAAGGGCTGGGATCCTGGTTGAAGCTTGGCCACAGGCTGAGATAAGACCCCGCAAAAGAGCAAAACTAGCAGAAAATTGCCCCGACTGCTCAGAGAACAAGGAAGGATGGGGAAGGAGAGACTCACCTAGGACGGTCAGCTGGGTCCCTCCGCCGAACACAATACACTGTGACACAGGCTCATACAAAAACCTCTCTCTGGGAGGCCCTGCCCCACCCCTGAGCCCCCCACCCCCTCCCCCTGCAGCTGTGATGGAGGAAGCCTGGGCCACTGCCCCAGGGGGTGTCTGGTCTGCAAGGGGCACACACACTGTCCCCCCATTCAGACCAGCAGGTGACAGGATAGGGGACAGGGTGCATTGCAAAGCGATAGCATTGTTGGAAGCAATTCTCCCAAAAGAACTTGGTGTCTGAGAGGCTGTTTCCACTGCGGTCTCCTGGGATTTGGGATGAGTTTGGAGGGCGTTTATTTCACTGTGAGTGAGCTCCATGGGAACGGGTGGCACATCTCTCTTATGTCCAAACAACCCCAATCCCAGGGGCAGGGCATGAGGGGAGGGCGGCCTGTAATCCCTCTCCCCCTCCCTCCCCTCCGTGGAAGGGCAGGCTGGGCTGTGTAGGATTATACTCCCAACCTATGTCCCCAGCCATCTGATCCAGACCTCTGGCTTATGGTCCCTATTGACAGCCTAGATAGGGATAGCAGTGGGGATGTCAGGATGGCACTGTAGTCTTTGCTAACCTGACCTTTAGGGTGACCTTGGGGGTGTCCTCTGCCTTCGCTCCCAGAGTTGGAGTGGTGTGGGGGTGCTGTGTCACCAGGAAACTCTGACCTCGAGTAACCCACAGGCCACACGCCCCCTGCTCTGAGCTGGTCTCACCTGCCCTTACTCGGCTCCTGAATTCCAGGGGATATGCCCTCCCTGGGATGACACTGGATGCCCATTCTGTGCCCAGGACGGTGCCCTTTCTAATCCATCAAGGACAACTCCCAAGTCTACTCCACCTGAGATGCTGACCTCACCTGCTCCATCCTTAAACCAACCCCCAAAACTCTCACGTTGATCTGACTTCAGGGTTTGAGACCTTCATGATGGAGGTCCCAGGCCTACGCTAGGGTCACCTTGAGCCTGAGCCTGACCCAAGACGATGTGAACATAAACTGAGCTTCCTTGTGCCTCACCCTCAGCCCATGTTCCCACACCAGTGAAGATGAGTCCCAGGCTCCCTGAGTTGGTAGAAGGAATGAACGTGATGGGGGAATTGTTAGGATCCATGATATTTAACTGTTTCTCTGCTGCAGGACTAGTCAGTGTCTTTCCGTAGCTAACGTGCATTGGCAGAGTTTGACAAGCGCCCCATGGGAGGCACTGTTTAAAGCTTTCCCTGACTCTGAGCTGATGGGCCAACCATGAGCCCCTCACCTGGAAATGGCTTCCCATTGGGCTCCATGATGGACAGGGAAGTTCAATGTCTGTTCCCAATGACCTCAGCCTTGGCTCTATGATTTCCTTCCCAATATATTCATCTGTACCTCACCGTACCCTCCTGAGACTCTCTTCAGTTTTCCTTGATTGCCCCTTAGGGTGCTCACATCTTTGTCACTGAGCCCCTGTTCCTTTCCGGGGGACAAGGACTGCGTCCCAGGGGCCAGAACCACAGGAGAAGTTCCTGCTCTGGGTCGCAGCTCCCATGGGCACTCAAGCTCATTCAGGACCCTGGTGGGTGAGTGGATGGACCTCAGGTAGGTCCATGTCATGTCATTCCTGTCCTGCTCTTTATTACCGACCCTTCAACCCAGAGACCCTCCCCACACAGAACACACATTCGAAATGTCAGATGAGAAATGACAGGAGTTTATTCAGGAGAAGGGGAAAGGGGGAGGGATGGCAACCTGCCCAGTCTGAGTGACCAGGGCAGAGACTCAGGGGGACAGTGGGGAGCGGGGGAAGGGGGTGTCTGACTGAGAAGTGTCCCAAGAAGTGGGGACTCAGGTCCTAGGAACACTCCGAGGGGGCCACTGTCTTCTCCACGGTCTTCCCGTCGTGCGTGACCTGGCAGCTGTAGGCGCTGGCGGACTTCCAGTCTTGGCTGGACACGCTCAGGTAGCTGCTGGCCGCGTACTTGTTGTTGCTCTGCTTGGAGGGCTTGGTGGTCTCCACGCCCTGGGTGACGGGGGTGCCATTTGCCTTCCAGGCCACCGTCACGCTGCCCGGGTAGAAGTCACTCATGAGACACACCAGTGTGGCCTTGTTGTTGTTGAGCTCCTCAGCGGATGGCGGGAACAGAGATACGGAGGGTGCAGACTTGGGCTGACCTGTGGGTGCGGGAGGGGCAGGAGGGGAGAGGCTCAAGGTCCATCCTGAAAGCTCCTGACCTTGGTCTTCCTGTGGGCACAGTGTCCTGAGGACCATGCAGGACCCCGAGGGCAGGGGCCTCTCCGGGTGTGAGGTCCATGCCGTGCAGAGCAGTTTGGGGGTTCCTACCTCAACTCCCCATGTTCCTGAGAAACCCTGAGCCTGGACACCTGCCATCACAGTCCTTGTGGGCCCCGTTCTGCCCCCCACACATCTGACTGTCACCCTCTGGCTCTGCCTTCTCCTGGTATCTGACTGGGCCTGTCTGTGTCTGTCCGTCTGTTTGTCCCACAGAAGATGCTCTGAGCCCTCTGCCCTCCTGCTGGGTCCATCTGTGGACACCTCTGACCTGATCCTCTGTGCTGGGGACTTAGGGTCTTTGCCCTCAGGGTTCGGTCACCCCCCCCAACCCCCAATCTACCTGTCCTGGACTTTCTCTTAAGTTAGTATGAGTTTTGCTGCTGAACAAAATGTTTGTCTGTCTGTCCCTGGGTCTCTCTCATTCTACAGTCAATGGAGTCCCCGCTAGTCGGTCACATCACTGGAGCTTTTATGCCAATAGTTGTACGTTACCTTCTGAGAGGATGTTCGTCCTGCAGAGACCAAAGACCACCTTGTCCTCATACCTGTCCTTCCATGGCCCTTCCTCCAGCACCTTCTCCTCCCCCCTGTGCCCTTCCTCCTGCAGGCTTCCCTGGTGCGAGGCTGGTCAGGACTCCGCATGGCAGCTCCATGCAGCCCCGGGGAGACCTGCTCCCCAGCACCTTTCCTGGCCCCTGTTCATGAGTCCACAGTCCCTGAGACCTGCCCTGAACCTCTGACCTGGGTGTCTCTAGCCTTGGCCCTGGCATGTGGGTCACCCTAAAATTTCTACCCGGATCCCCTCAGTGCTTCTCTTCCTCTCTTCCCCTTAAGACAGGGGCCACCGGGGACTTGCAGATATAAATCTTGTCCCACAGAAGCCCATCAGGGAAAGACAGAACAGAGCCCAACTAGAATCCAGCATGACCCTCGCAGACAGACAGAAGAATCCACAAGGCATCCTGTCCATTCTCCTATCTCTGAGGTCAGAGGTGAATGGCTGAAGGTGACCAAGTAGGACAGTAAGAACAGGGGTGGGAAGACCTCAGGTCCCCAAGGGCTGGGATCCTGGGTGAAAGCTTGGCCACAGGCTGAGGCAAGACCAGAAAAAGAGAAAAAAGAGCAGAAAACAGCCCAAACTTTGTAGGGGAGCAGGGAAGGAGGGGGAAGGAGAGACTCACCTAGGACGGTCAGCTGGGTCCCTCCGCCGAACACATAACACTGTGACACAAGCTCATACAAAAACCTCTCTCTGGAGCCCACTCCTGAGCCCCCCCACACCCCCGGCTCCCCCTGCAGCTGTGATGGAGGAAGCCTGGGCCACTGCCCCAGGGGGTGTCTGGTCTGCAAGGGGCACACACACTGTCCCCCCTTTCAGACCAGCAGGTGACAGGATAGGGGACAGGGTGCATTGCACAGGGAAAGAATTCTGGAAGCAGTTCTCCCAAAGGAATTAGGTGTTTGACAGGCTGTTTCCACTCTGTTCCCCTGGGATGTGGGATGAGTATGGTGGGCATCTGTGTCACTGTGCGGGACATTCCACGGGAACGGGTGGCACACCTCTCTTATGTCCAATCACCCCTAATCCCTGGTGAGAGCATGAGGGGAGGGCAGTGCGTATTCCCTCTGCCCCCTCCCCTTCCAGGGAAAGACAGGTTGGTCTGTGTAGAGTGTCTACTGGCAACTTCCTATGTCCCCAACCATCTGATCAAGACCTCTGGGACTGTAATCTTTGTCAACCTGCCCTTTAGGGTGTCCCCTGCGATTCTTCCCAGAGGTGGAGTGGCGTCGGGGTGCTGTGTCACCGGAGAGACCTGACCTTGCTGTAACCAACAGGCCACACTCCCCTGATCTGAGATTGTATGACCTGCCCTTACTCCGCTCCTGAATTCGAGTGGATATGCCCTCCCTGGGGCGCAATGGATGCCCATTCTGTGCCCAGGAAGGTGTCCTTTCTAATCCATCAAGGACAACTCTCATGTCCCCTCCACCTGAGGCCTGATATCACCTGCTCCATCCTTAAACAAACCCCGAAAACTCTCACGTTGATCTGATTTCAGGGTTTGAGACCTTCATGATGGAGGTTCCCAGCCCAAGCTAGGGTCACCTTGAGTGTGAGGCTGACCCAAGACGATGAGAACATAAACTGAGCTTCCTCGTGCCTCATCCTCAGCCCAGCTTCCCAGCACCATGAGTTCCAGGCTCCCTGAGTTGGTACGGGGTGTGAGCATGATTGGGCAATTGTTAGGTTGTATGATATTAAACTGTTTCTCTGCTGTATGACTTGTCAGTGTCGTTACTGACATAACATGCATAGACAAAGTTTGACAAATGCACCATGGGAGGCACTGTTGAAAGCTTTTCATGATTTTAAGGTGAGGAGTCAACCTTCACCTGGTAATGGATCTCCCATTGGGTTCCATGATGGGAAAGGGAAGTTCAATGTCTGTTCTTAAGGACCACAGCCTTGGTTCCATGATTTCCTTCCCAATATTTCCATCTGTAGCCCACCTTGCACTCCTGGTCCCTCTTCAATTCTCCCTGATCCCTCCTCAGGGCTCTTGAATCCCTCTCACTCAGCCCTTGTCCCTTTGCAGGTGACCAGGACTGCGTCCCAGGGGCTGTTCCCACAGGAGATGTTCCTGCCCTGGAACGCAGCGCCCATGGGCACTCAGAGCTCATTCAGTCCCTGGTGGGTGAGTGGATGGACCTCAGGTAGGTCCATGTCATGTCATTCCTGTCCTGCCCTTTATTACCGACCCTTCAACCTAGAGACCCTCCCCCACACAGAACACACATGCGAAATGTCAGATGAGAAATGACAGGAGTTTATTCAGAAGGGGAATCCGGGAGGGATGCCGACCTGCCCTGTCTGAGCGACCAGGGCAGGAGCCGCAGGGGGACTGTGGGGAGCGGGGTAAGGGCGGGTCTGAGGGAGAAGTGTCCCCAGAAGTGGGGACTCAGATCCTAGGAACACTCCGAGGGGGCCACTGTCTTCTCCACGGTCTTCCCATCGTGCGTGACCTGGCAGCTGTAGGCGCTGGCGGACTTCCAGTCTTGGCTGGACACGCTCAGGTAGCTGCTGGCCGCGTACTTGTTGTTGCTCTGCTTGGAGGGCTTGGTGGTCTCCACGCCCTGGGTGACGGGGGTGCCATTTGCCTTCCAGGCCACTGTCACGCTGCCCGGGTAGAAGTCACTCATGAGACACACCAGTGTGGCCTTGTTGTTGTTGAGCTCCTCAGCGGATGGCGGGAACAGAGACACGGAGGGTGCAGACTTGGGCTGACCTGTGGGTGCGGGAGGGGCAGGAGGGGAGAGGCTCAGGGTCCATCCTGAAAGCTCCTGACCTCGGTCTTCCTGTGGGCACAGTGTCCTGAGGATCATGCAGGACCCCGAGGGCAGGGGCCTCTCTGGGTGTGAGAGACCATGCCATGCAGGGTAGTTTGGGGTGTTCGTAGCTCAACTCCCCATTTTCCTGAGAAACCCTGAGCCTGGACACCTGCCATCACCGGTCCTTGTGGGCCCCGTTCTGCCCCCCACACATCTGACTGTCACCCTCTGGCTCTGCCTTCTCCTGGTATCTGACTGGGCCTGTCTGTGTCTGTCCGTCTGTTTGTCCCACAAAAGATGCTCTGAGCCCTCTGACCGCCATCTGTGGGCACCTCTGACCTGATCCTCTGTGCTGGGGTCTTAGGATCTTTGCCCTTAGGATTCTGTCCCTATCAATCTACCTGTCCTGGGCTTTCTCTTAAGTTAGTATGAGTTTTGCTGATGAACAAAATGTCTGTCTGTCTGTCCTTGGGTCTCTCTCATTCTACAGTCAATGGAGTCCCTGCTAGTCGGTCACATTACTGGAGCTTTTATGCCAATAGTTGTACGTTACCTTCTGAGAGGATGTTCGTCCTGCAGAGACCAAAGGCCACCTTGTCCTCATATCTGTCCTTCCATGCCCTTCCTCCAGCACCTTCTCCTCCCCCCTGTGTCCCTTCCTCCTGCAGGCTTCTCTGGTACAAGGCTGGTCAGGACTCCGCATGGCAGCTCCATGCAGCCCCGGGGAGCCCTGCGCCCCAGCACCGTTCCTGGCCCCTGTTCATGAGTCCACAGTCCCTGAGACCTGCCCTGAACCTCTGACCTGGGTGTCTCTAGCCTTGGCCCTGAGCATCTGGGTCACCCTAAAATTTCCACCCAGTTTCCCCTCAGTGCTTCTCTTCCTCTCTTCCCCTTAAGACAGGGGCCACCGGTGACTTGCAGATAAAATCTTGTCCCACAGGAGCCCATCAGGGGAAGACAGAACAGAGCCCAACTAGAGTCCAGCATGACCCTCGCAGACAGACAGAAGAATTCACAAGGCATCCTGTCCATTCCTCTGAGGTCAGAGGTGAATGGCTGAAGGTGGCCAAGTAGGACAGTAAGAACAGGGATGGGAAGACCTCAGGTCCCCAAGGGCTGGGATCCTGGGTGAAAGCTTGGCCACAGGCTGAGGCAAGACCAGAAAAAGAGCAAGAATAGCAGAAAACAGCCCAGACTTTGTAGGCGAGCAGGGAAGGAGGGGGAAGAAGAGACTTACCTAGGACGGTCAGCTGGGTCCCTCCGCCGAACACCCAACACTGTGATACAAGCTCATACAAAAACCTCTCTCTGGGAGGCCCTGCCCACCCTTGAGCCCACCCCCCTCCCCCTGCAGCTGTGATGGAGGAAGCCAGGGCCACTACCCCAGGGGGTGTCTGGTCTGCAAGGGGCACACACACTGTCCCCTCTTTCAGACCAGCAGGTGACAAGATAGGGGACACAGTGCATTGCACGGAGATAGCATTCTTGGAAGCAGTTCTCCCAAAGGAATCAGGTGTTTGACAGGCTGTTTCCACTCTGTTCCCCTGGGATGTGGGATGAGTATGGCCGGCATCTGTGTCACCACGAGGGAGGTTCCATGGGAACGGGTGGCACACCTCTCTTATGTCCAATCACCCCTAATCCCTGGGTGGGAGCATGAGGGGAGGGCAGTGCGTATTTGCTCTACCGCCCTCTTCTTCCAGGGAACGAAAGGTTGGTCTGTGTAGAAAGTCTACTGGCAACTCCCTATGTCTCCAACCATCTGATCCAGAACTCTGGCTTATCTTCCCTCGGGCAGCCTAGATAGGGATAGAATTGGTGATGTCAGGGGGGGACTGTAGTCTTTGCCAAGCTGTCTTTTAGGGTGAGCTTGGGGGTGTCTCCTAAGGCGGGATGGTTTGGGGTGCTGTGTCACTAGAGAGGCCTGACCTTGGTGTAACCCACAGGCCACACTCCCCCTGATCTGAGCTCCTCTCACCTGCCCTAACTCTACTCCTGAATTCCAGTGGATATGCCCTCCCTGGGATGGCACTGGATGCCCATTCTGTGCCCAGGACGGTACCCTTTCTAATTCATCAAGGTCAACTCCCATGTCTACTCTACCTGAGGCCTGACATCACCGGCTCCTTCCTTAAACCAAACCCCAAATCTCTCAGGTTGATCTGACTTCAGGGTTAGAGACCTTCATGATGGAGGTCCCAGGCCCAAGCTCGGGTCAACTAGATCCTGAGCCTGGCCCAAGACCATGAGAACGTAAACTGAGCTTCCTTGTGCCTCATCCTCAGTCCAGGTTCCCAGCACCTTTAGATCGAGGCTCTCTGAGTTGGAAAGGGGTGTGAGCATGATTGGGGAATTGTTAGGTTGTACGATATTAAACTGTTTCTTTGATGTCTGACTTGTCAGTGTCATTGCTGACCTAACATGCATCGTCGAAGTTTGACAAACGCACCATGGGAGGCACTGTTGAAAGCTTTTCATGATTTTATGGTGAGGAGCCAAGCAGGAACCTTCACCTGGTAATGGCTCCCCCATTGGGTTCCATGATGGGAAAGGGAAGTTCAATGTCTGTTCCCAATGACCACAGCCTTGGTTCCATGATTTCCTTCCCAATATTTCCATCTGTAGCCCACCTTGCCCACCTGTGTCCTCTTCATTTCTCCCTGATCCCTCCTCAGGACCCCTGGATCCCTCTCACTCAGCCCTTGTCCCTTTGCAGGTGACCAGGACTGCGTCCCAGGGGCTGGTCCCACAGGAGAAGTTCCAGCCCTGGGTCGCAGCGCCCATGGGCACTCAGAGCTCATTCAGGTCCCTGGTGGGTGAGTGGAGTGGACCTCAGGTAGGTCCATGTCACGTCATTCCTGTCCTGTCCTTTATTACCGACCCTTCAACCTAGAGATGCTCCCACACACAGAACACACATGCGAAATGTCAGATGAGAAATGACAGGAGTTTATTCAGGAGAAGGGGAAAGGGGGAGGGATGACCACCTGCCCAGTCTGAGCGACCAGGGCAGGAGCTGCAGGGGGACAGTGGGGAGGGGGGGAAGGGAGGGTCTGACGGAGAAGTGTCTCCAGAAGTGGGGACTCAGGTCCTAGGAGCACTCTGAGGGGGCCACTGTCTTCTCCACAGTCTTCCCGTCGTGCGTGACCTGGCAGCTGTAGGCGCTGGCGGACTTCCAGTCTTGGCTGGACACGCTCAGGTAGCTGCTGGCCGCGTACTTGTTGTTGCTCTGCTTGGAGGGCTTGGTGGTCTCCACGCCCTGGGTGACGGGGGTGCCATTTGCCTTCCAGGCCACCGTCACGCTGCCCGGGTAGAAGTCACTCATGAGACACACCAGTGTGGCCTTGTTGTTGTTGAGCTCCTCAGCGGATGGCGGGAACAGAGACACGGAGGGTGCAGACTTGGGCTGACCTGTGGGTGCGGGAGGGGCAGGAGGGGAGAGGCTCAGGGTCCATCCTGAAAGCTCCTGACCTCGGTCTTCCTGTGGGCACAGTGTCCTGAGGACCATGCAGGACCCCAGGGCAGGGGCCTCTCCGGGTGTGAGAGTCCATGCTGTGCAGGGTAGTTTGGGGGGTTCCTAACTCAACTCCCCATTTTCCTGAGAAACCCTGAACCTGGAACCTGCCATCACTGTCCTTGTGGGCCCCGTTCTGCCCCCCACACATCTGACTGTCACCCTCTGGCTCTGCCTTCTCCTGGTATCTGACTGGGCCTGTCTGTGTCTGTCTGTCTGTTTGTCCCACAAAAGATGCTCTGAGCCCTCTGCCCTCCTGCTGGGTCCATCTGTGGACGCCTCTTACCCGATCCTCTGTGCTGGGGGCTTCGGAGCATCGGCCCAAGGGCTCAGTTTTTCACCCACATCTATGTCTCCTGCTCCCTCTCTAAACTGGGTGGCAGCTTTTTCTGATGAACAAAATGTCTGTCTTTTTGTCATTGGGTCTCTCTCATTCTACAGTCAATGGCATCCCCACAAATTGGTCAGATAACTAGAGCTTTCATGCCATGGATTCTGCCATTTCTTCTGAGAGGATGTTCATCCTGCACAGACCAAAGGCCAATTGTCCTCACACCTGTCCTTCCATGCCCTTCTTCAAGCACCTTCTCCTCCCCCCTGTGTCCTTCCTCCTGCAGGCCTCCATGGTGGGAGGCTGGTCAGGACTCCACATGGCAGCTCCATGCAGGCCCCTGGGAGCCCTGCACCCCAGCACCATTCCTGACCCTTGTTCATGAGTCCACAGTCCCTGAGACCTGCCCTGAACCTCTGACCTGGGTGTCTCTAGCCTTGGCCCAGAGTGTCTGGGTCACCCTAAAATTTTCACAAGGTTACCCCCTCAGTGCTCTTTTTTTCCCTTCTTCCCCTTAAAACCAGGGGCCCCCGGGGGATTTGCAGAAATAAATTTTTTTCCCCCAGAAGCCCATCAGGGGAAAGACAGAAAAAGCCCCAACTAGAATCCAGCATGACCCTCGCAGACAGACAGAAGAATCCACAAGGCATCCTGTCCATTCTCCTGTCTCTGAGGTCAGAGGTGAATGGCTGAAGGTGACCAAGTAGGACAGTAAGAACAGGGGTGGGAAGACCTCAGGTCCCCAAGGGCTGGGATCCTGGGTGAAAGCTTGGCCACAGGCTGAGGCAAGACCAGAAAAAGAGCAATAATAGCAGAAAACAGCCCAAACTTTGTAGGGGAGCAGGGAAGGAGGGGGAAGGAGACACTCACCTAGGACGGTCAGCTGGGTCCCTCCGCCGAACACATAACACTGTGACACAAGCTCATACAAAAACCTCTATCTGGGAGGCCCTGCCCACTCCTGAGCCCCCCCACACCCCCGGCTCCCCCTGCAGCTGTGATGGAGGAAGCCTGGGCCACTGCCCCAGGGGGTGTCTGGTCTGCAAGGGGCACACACACTGTCCCCCCTTTCAGACCAGCAGGTGACAGGATAGGG